ACCAACTCCTTCTTGCCCTGTCGAGCGGCAAGGAACGGCGATCGCACGCGATATGCCTGGCTAGGCGGCGAGAACACTCGCAAAAGCTGCAGCTTCTGCTCCTTCCAGGAGGGGAACGCCGCTTCAATCTAAGTACCACACGTGAGTGCCCAATCTCGCGCTCGACCCCCTGCTTGAAGATAGCTAGCGCCACGCTGTTGCTTGTTTTGGAGCATGGCGGATGCCATAGCCATACCTGTATCTCTTATCCAGAGCAGGATATTCGCTCCATCCCTACCGTCGAAGGTCTTAGTGCTCACCATGAGCGGCCTGGCTCGGGATGAGTCATCCGTCGTCGTCGATGGTCGCGTCATGGACGCAGTCGATGCCGACATTTTCTTCATAGCTCGAAAACGCCTCTAGGCGCGCGCTTATCGCTTTGGGTCCTTGCAAAGCGAGGTGTTGCACGCCGTCAGGGCCAAGCAAAGACATCAGCTTATAAAGCCCGTTCTGCATGTCCTGGGGCAAAAAAGGAGAAATGCTCCATCCTCACAGCGAACCTGTCTTATCGACTCAGGCGTAGATTGACAACCAGTGCTACCAAGTGCAGCGGAGCTGCCGTAGCACTTACCACGGTTACGATCTATACTACGAGTGTAGCGGATCGCAATCCGCTACCTTCAAGAGCCCCTCTGTACGAACATCTAGATCCCTGTACGATCCGCTTCAAAGTCACTACAAAAAAGGCATAATCCAGGGCAAATGTACTCTTTCGTTCGAAATTGAGGCTGCATTTATTTGTTTTATATGAGGCAGACCCGCCTTTGTTCAAAACCTTCGTTTTTTACTAATTAATATAGTAAAACCTAATTAATATCCTGAATACTGGAAGTCCCGCCACAAAAAAGCTTCTTGTTACGGTGTAGCCAACCCATTTAGTGATTACATCGAGTGGTGTAATTTGCACCTTTGTATGGTCACACCATCTTGTGTGACGTACGCTTTCATATAGGGTACGTGGAACCCCGTTGCACTACCAGCTCACTCAACTTTCATGGAAGTCCCATCATCCTTATCGGTAAATCTATCTGAGCTATGCGTAGTAGGGAACGGTGTGAACACATGCCAGGCAGTCCGCCCAAAGCCAACAACATTGCATCAATTTTTTTGGTTCTAATACTAACATTTATGGCCTTACAACGCCGGTCTATTTCGATAGGCTCAGTGTCCTCCAAGCAGCTTCTGCACACTTGCGAAAGTGAAACTCAATGAAAGCTCCAGCGTGGGTGCTGAAAAAGTGGCAGGATTTATTCTTTCAGCGTGGTAAAACTTATTGTCTGATATCGCCAAAGAGCGCGTAGAACACAACAACGATTATTGTTGAGCTCATGTGTAAATCGGAAACTCTGCAGAGCTAGTATCCAGTCGGTATAAGTTTGTTTGTATTTGCAAATATCGCCAATTCCGATCAAAAGTTCCATCTATGAGCTCCTTGATAGGCCAAATGTATTATATGAATTACTAAAGAGCCATATGACAAGCTCACGTGTTTGGCGTGCCGTTTGTACACCCATGTATGCAGGAAATTGACTTCTTAGATACTGTTCAACAGAAAAAGTCGTATCAACTTTTACAGCATTACGTCGCGGGCGAAATCTTGTATATGAGAAATCAAAATAACGTAACAATTTCAGCATTTTCCGCAGCAGGTACTCGGTTAGGCATTAAGCCGGTCAGGCTAATTACGATAAGTCTAGAATGCTATAATAAATTTCAATTTGCAATTCTGCATGTCAGCACTCATGTAGCCTGTACATACTCTACATTAGGCAAGCGACTTTTAATTGGCTGACCAAGAAGTTCTGTGGTATGGGTAGTCCCGGTGTGATTACGTTAAGCCGTCTTACTGTGTCAATGACTAAGCGAGTCACTGAACTTAGTCGTGCGAAGTGATCCAGACTCAGAGGCATTTGTAGTAGATCCGATGTAGCATATGTTTATTTGCGTTTACAAATCTTAAAAGCGATTAATGCCTAACCCGCAAGCTTATCAACCGTTTGCGAATTAAATCTACGTAAGGTTACCTATAGCGCGAAGTGAGGTCTGTCCCAAACGGTGTTGTTTTCGCGAACATTTTCCAGTTGCCGCATGAGCTAGTGTTTCCTGTTTTACTTGTATGGGTCTTGGAGCAAATTTGGCTTGAATTAACAATAGGGAAGAAGTGTAGGGAGGACCAAAACAATAGATTTATCAGTTAGATCAAACGCTTTTTTCAAGTGGAAGCATACAATGTCGAAGCATTTTCCTAATGGCCCCAAAGCCTTGGGAAAGCGAGTCGATTCCGGTGACATGTAGCGGGGCACCTTTGATTCAGCAACTGTGATTGCAATGCCGCCATGCAGACACTTTAGGTGCATAGTGTCAACGAAGTCTCTTGTTGAAGTAGGCTTTCAAAAATCTCTCTTGATCAATTCTTTTGAGGCGAGGTAACGACGCATTTGCGTCATTTGTGTTAGCGAAAATTGCGCTTTTTGCTGCAATTTGATACAGAAAAGGCAAACGCGTCATGGTAGCACTTGTCGTGTACCAGATTACTGGTAAGATAATACTTTGTATCATGACAACCTTTCATCGCGGCGTTCGAGCACGGTATTCCCAAAGCATACGCAATACTTGAATCGTTTTTTGCCTCGCTGTATTGCTATTCCGGCCTAAGCTGACATACGGTTTATAGTTAGCAAGACCAGACCAGCTCATGCCTTTAACAAGTTTTTAGCTCGCGAATCTCGGAAGACGATCTGATGACAAAGTTTTGACACGGTGGGAAACGCTACGGCTTCTTGGCGTGATAGGAGGGGCTACTGAGTTCCTGAATAGTCTTTTTCAATGCCAAGAAATTTATCAGCGTCGTCACAATCGAACAACATTCCGGTGCAGTTGTCAACAAATGCTGGTAGTAGTGGAGGTAACTTTGCGTTGTCATCAGAGGCCGTTTTTGGTCCCAGGATAGCTTTGTGATTAGAAAGGTTGAGCGGTCTATAGTTTCTGAAACAGTGCGATCTCCGGAAGTGTAAAGGAAAGCTGAGCGAGCCCTACTTCTTCGAATCTTTGTGAATTTCCCCTTAAATTGTCGACTGTATAACACTTCATAAATGCGCGATCAAAAAACCATATCAAGTCTGTAATATTAGATGGAATACCCATCTGGTCCTGGAAATTTACCACAATTGCTCGATACAAGCTGTTTGCCCTGACAAAGGCGTTTAGTATAGCTTCTTATCTTGCCGACAACCGGGACTTTGTATATTGCAGCATAATATCGAACCGAATTGGCCGGAAGCCTGAGAACATCTCGTCTTTCAAGTCTGCAATCGTGAGCTAAAAAATCCTGACTCAACGTTGACGGTGTCCAGTAGCAGTTACTGACTGGTCCTCTGTGACGGTGCTATCAGCGTTTATCAGCTCAGTGTTTGGAGAAAGAAGGCAATTTAATTGTGGGGGTTCAGCAAAGTAAATCACTACGAGCTCTTAGATACAATATTGATTAAATTATCGGCTGCGCTGACTGGGTTACTCTTTGTTGCAATATTTCGTTCGTCTATCCTCAGAAATTCCTGGCAATGCCATCAAAGCTACATGCAGTCTATCCGATTATGTCCGTTAACAAGACATGCGATATCGCACCCGCGAAGATCTTGATATAATTAGTGAGTGCTCGCACCAAAAGTGCCAGATATTTTTGTACATTTAATTCCAAAATAAGTCAATTTTGACATATCTACAGTTGGTGACATCAGCGCTGAACAGGCTTTGCTATAAGGCGGGCTTTGCTACAAGGCGGTATGGGATCACATCATGCCCCTTGCAAATTTCTCATGTGTTGGCGAAAACTCCATTGTCTTTGAGTTGACCAGTCGGAACAATTTTTTTTGTTTTTTACGCGAATAAATATTAATATCGCGTCTCCGTGTTCACGAATCGCCAGGTATCGGATATCCCCAGTGCCTCAAGCCAGTCTCTTATTTCATCGCTACCACGTCTGCAGCGGGGCTGCCGTGGCAAAACACTCGAGGAAGCGTACTTTAGGTCACCGACCTTTTGTTCTTTACAAGAACCAAGTATGAGTTAGCGGAT